AAGGCGCAGGATATGGCTCTCTCTCTACCCCCATAGCAGCCGTATCTGCTATTCAACAACAAACTGGGCTCCTGATCCAGCCGCTTTACAGCCTGATCCTAGCAGGGTGCTAAACTCATTCCCAAGCAGAATCCGAGGGCCCATTGACCTTCCGCAGCATGATTGATCCGGGGTGGGGGGGGGCATGGCTGCAGAGGGGCCCGATCCTGCAAAGGCTGCTAAACCAGGGGCAGGAACGTATCTTTGCACTGGGACGATTTTAAAAGGTGCCCTTTTACGGAGCATTGGCACACTGATTATGAAACGTGCCCTGGTCCCGCCCGGCCCTGCATCCTAGCCCTTCCGCCTCAGTCTCGTGCCCAAGCAGAGGTGGTTTGGGAATGGTTATAGGCACTGCAGTAGGATGGTTCTCTAGCAAAGAGCCATCCCATGTACATCTACCCAATGCTGTTGCCTGCCGTAGGGTTTTATATTGCTGCCCAGCACTGCAGTATCTGATCCTGCAGCCTCTTTAGCCATGGGAAAGCGCCATTGTTGATGTGCACTTGGGCCCTGCAGCGTTAAACTGGGCGTCCCTAATGCCGTACTCATCCTAACAGGTGGACGGCTCGAGCTGCTTGGCTTGATGCTAGGATGGAAATGAAATGAAATAGTTTTGGTTGAAGAGCTTATCAACTCCCTCACTGTGATTTAGGCATCTTTAAGCCTCGTGTTTTATTAATTGTCCCTGTTCGATGAACAGCACTGAAATGCATGTCTGCAAACAAGGGCTTGTGTTGCAGTATTATGCGTAAGGACTGCCACGTGCACGGGCCCTGGATGGTAAATATGCACTTGATGAACTGCAACGTGGAGTGAAATAAAGGATGAGATTTTAAGTCACCTTCCCTGGAGCAGGGAGTTAGTGATTCTTGTCCTTCGCTATTCTGCCCTCCTGTAGTCCTGTCCCCTGAAGTCTGGCTGTACAGCTGCCAAACCTGTTCACACCTAGCTATCCAGAGACGTTGGGGAGGTGACATAATGGCCCTGCCCTGCTCTGGGGAGCACTGATGGTTGTTTGATGCGGGAAAAGGGAAATTAATTGGTGATGTCACATCTACGTAGGGGACAGCTGTCCACACGAGGGAGAACCTCCATCAGTATTCTCCAGTGAACCCTACCCCACCATGTCAGCAGCCCCAGCAGGGAAGCCAGGGGCTGAATGGGGCCTGGAGGGCGAGCACCCATGGTGCCCCCAGCCGTTGTTCCAACGTGGGGCAGAGGCAGAGAGACAGGGTAACGAGGTGGCAGTTACCCCCGTGCTTCTCATGCTGTAGCTTCTTTTACGAAGAGAAGTTTTCCTGCTCCAGGATCCTTCCCAGATTAATATAACGGAAGAGCAAGTCTTTCCAGACTAAAGTGTATGGACAGGTTCTGCTAGTAACGACGTAATCAGCTTCCTTCTAAGGATACAGTGGCATGGGCGGAGATTTTACTCTCTGAAAGACACATATGGGGCTGCCCTGTTATCCCTTAGAAACAAGGGCTCTATTTTATGAAGGGCCACAGCGCCCCCCAGTGGCTCTGCAGAGCATTGGCAAGCCGAAGTTTCTAAACGGCGCATTAGGCTGCACAGAGGAGGTTCAGTCACAACTGGATGCCTGGTTCTCCGACGAGCCTGTGGTTAGATGGGGAGGGGGTTGCTGATGCTTGAACGCAACAGATTTTCTCCTGGGCGTTCTTTGCTGACGGCTCGTTCTTCACAGCGAGCGTAAGAGACGGTCACAGCTCACAGGCGTTTCCCCTCCCTCGGCATTCCCGCGAGCGCCGTCGTGACGTACACAGCCCCGAGCCCAGGGCAGTGCCCGTGGGGCTCACGGCAGAGGCCTTCAGCCCATTATTAGAACAGGGGCACAGGGGGAAGCTGGCCGGCAGCACCAAAGTGCCGTTTGAGGGAGGAAGGCTGGTCCAGTGCTCAGGGCTCGAGCCTCGGACTTGGAAAACCCAGGTGCAATTCTTTGCCCCCTACGTCCACGTATGCCTCAGTTTCCCTGCAGGATATGATTCCTCGGTATGGTGAGGCTCGGGAGGTGCTCCCCTGCTCCGGGAATGGGAGTGCTGGAAATGTCGTCAGTCGATTGCTGTGTCCGCTCCTGCGAGAGAACTGGAGCTGAAATCCCCCTCGGTCAGGTTTACTTCGGCGCTGGCAGCAACAGGCTCCTGAAGGCAGGGCTCAGTCTTCCCTCCTGCCACGGCTGATCCTCTGTTTCTGCTGTGGGTGGCCGGGGAGGCCTGGCTGACTTCACTCGGTGCTGATGTGGGTGAGCGGCCCGGCCCACAGCACCTACTGAACCAGCGCTCCAACGCACGCCGCACAGAGAGGCTGCACCACAGCCGCCATCCTCTAATCTCCATTTCCCTGACCCCCTCCCGGACATCCCATGGGCGGCAGAGCCAGGGCAGCGCTGAGGCCAGTGGGAGAGCCTGCACTCCAGCCTGGAGGCGAGATAAACTGAACCCACCACTGACACCAACACAGGCGTGAAAACCTTCCTCATTCTGGGCATCCTCAGGCCCCGGAGCAGCCAGTTGCACTGAACGCTCAGACACACTATAGATCGGTCAGAAGAACGGCCAGACTGGGTCAGACCAATGGTCCATCTAGCTCAGGAGCCTGTCTCCCACCAGCGGCCAGTGCCAGATGCTTCAGAGGGAATGAACAGAACAGGGCGATTTTGAGTGATCCCTCCCATCAACCAGTCCCAGCTTCTAGGTCCAGTGGGTGACTTTGCCCAGACTGGGCCAGATATTAGAAGAGCTCGGACTCCGGCAGCTCCATTGCAATGCTCCACTGTGCTCAGCGTCCTGAGCCCTTCTGCAAACGCTGGCCTGATCCTCTGGGAGCTGTTCCAGCCCGGCCCGGGGTTCCAGCAGACGGGTTAATTGAAGCCGGTGGGCTGGGGAAGTCCCACTGGCGCTCAGGTCTCTCAGCCCAATCATCCTTCCGCAGTCACGCAAGAGAACAAGCTGGAGGTTTTTGCAGTAAGGTGCCCGCCCAGGGAGCAGCACCGCACCACCGAGCCAACGCACGCACCTGACAAGCTGGCAGCACTCTCACCAACCCACAAGCTGTGCAAGCCCCTCTTCCTTCCCGTTAGGGCCAAATCCTGAAAGCGTTAGCTGTGTGCTTTGGCCAACTGACCACAATGGGGTGATGGGTGGGAGTGCTGCAACACTGGGGCTGGGCAGCCAATTGTAGAGGCTCGGGAGGACTGTTAGCACCAAACCCCTCAGGGGGAGTCGCTGCCCGTGCGGAGGCAGCGCCCTGACGTATTGCGCCGAGGCCTGTTGATTTGGCCTTTTCCAAAGATGCAGTGGGCCTTCCCCGCCCTGCACTGGGGAAATGGCTCCTGCAGACCCTCTTTGGGGAGTCTGCGCTGTGGGTGATGCCTGGGCCCCGTTCAGAAGTGCAGACCCGGGGGAGCAATGCGGCTAGGCGCCTCCCCCTGTTCTTTAGCACGTGTCCCCCTTTCACAGCTGGCCATGTGAGCTGGGCTTGTGGCCCAGTGGGCGGGACGTTAGATGTGAACTCAGGGTACCTGGGTTCCACTCCCAGCTCTGCCGAGTCACATTGTCTCTGTGTACCTGTTTCCTCTCTCACCTTTGTCTGCCTCGTCTAGGTGTGCATGCAGCTCCTAGCACAATGGGATCCCAGTCTTGCTTGGGGCCGCTAGGTGCTACAGGAATATAAAGAAGAGCTTCAGTGACCTAAAATAACAATCTTTGCAGCCCGTTAAACTGATTATTAACTAGGACTTTACTCCCTACCCCGCAGCAAAGTCACTCCGGCCCAGATCCTCAAAGGTATGTAGGCACCTAACGCCCTTGGAGGAGCTGGGCTAAGCACAGAGGTAAAGTGAGCAAATCGGGTACCATTGCCTGGAAAACGGCAACAATCCTCTTGACACTTTGTCCCCCCGAAAATGAGGTCTCTCTGCTCCTCCAAATCCACCCAGTCTTTTCTGGCATTTCCAACAAAGAGCTGAGCATTTTTGTCCTAGTTTTTCCATCTGAGGTGCCTTCCCATGTTCCTTTCGATGTAACTTTACATTTGCATCCTCGACTGAATTACAGCTCCTGCTCCGTAGCAATCGCAATGCATTTATTCCTACACTTCGCTCCCAGACGGGCATTTGATCAAACATATATTAACGTGAACATTAGCATCCACAAAGAACCGGTGTCAATCAGCTCCTTGACACCCATTCAGGCCGATTTTCAGAAGAAGCGATGCCAGATTGCTGACAGGTGGTGGTTGCAATTCATTCCCCGCCCTCCTCATGCATATTTTAAGACCCCTGAAGAATTGAAAGTGAATTGAGTGCTTGGGCAAGGTGCTGAATTGACAGCTCTGGTAACCAAAGGCCTCTGTGCACAGAGCAGGGCAGCAGCTGCACACGCACCCCCCCCACACACGCTGCGTTCGAACCCCGACCGCTAAGGGGCAGAGGAGAGTTCAGCCTTCAGCTTCGCGGCTGAGACTGCCAGCTAGTGGCTGGGGCCAGCAACACCGGAAACTGGACTGAGATCACCAGATCACGCCTCTTCTTGACGGCATGTGCCAGGGCAATCCAGCTCCGGCAATGCCCAAGCTGAAGTCTGGCCTTCTTGCAGTATGTCTGTCAGTCTGACCCAGGACTCACTTCTGCTCCCATTGAAGCCAGGGGGAGCTTTGCTATTGATGTCAATGGGAGCAGAAGCGGGGGCACGCAGCCCATCCGATAGAGTCTAGCAATATCCAGCCCCATAGAAGGATACACAGATCACTCACGCCAGGCCTGAATTCGGTCCGAGGTGCCCTGTGATCGCAAAGCCCCCCGTTCCCTGTGCGTGATCCCTTCCCCGACGTTTGTCTGTTCAGTCGGGAAGAATCCTTTTCACATTCCGACCGCCAGTTCGCCAGCGAGCGTGCACCACCCGGGCCTGCGCGCTCTGGGATGGAAGAGGCGGGCGTGCCTGACTTCAGCCACAAGTTTTATTGTTTTAGTATGAGCTCACCACACTTTAGCAAGCCACTATTGGGGTCTGTGGTACATTAATACACATCGGTTGTAGTTACACTCAATGGACTCAGATTTGTACAGCGTTTGTACATAGGAAGGGGAGGGAAAAGAATCAAATAAAACAAACATTAGCAGTCAAACCATTTTTTATCTTACTCACAAAATTCGATAGCCAAAAAAATGACTAAGCTACAAAATTGTAATACATACTGTACGGGTAAAATGTTATCATCCATTTATACATCTACTATCGCCTTTATTCTGGTAACTTACATGGAGGCCTATAGATTTTAGTGGATTAATAATTCCCTACAAGATAGTGGTGAACTGCTAAAAGCTGCTGTCACAACGGGGTATTGGAATCTTGTGAAGGTTTCATTTGCATCTTTTTGTTTGTTTTCATGAAACCATCATGCATATCCACTGAAAGTCAAAGGAACTGACCAGAGGAGGGGATGGGGCAGTAGCTGGTATGTCTTGACTATAAATTTCGGACCCATGACTGGGTACGGGTGTTAGCATGGGACTGTGTGTCCACGTCACTTTTCTGAACTCTGAAAAGGATAAAGCCAGTACTGCCATCCAAATGCTTGTACGATTTCTCTTTAGCTAGGATGAGAGGAAAAGGTTGCTAATCTGGATCTTCAAGAGCCTGTCCGGCTGGCATGGAGACTTTATTCTTCAGATGATTTCTCAGCCTTCAGTGGGAAAACAAAACAAAAAACTCTTCCAGCCACTGAACTAATACAATGGATAGAAAGTCCAATTTTCAACAGCGTGGACTCATAATTCCTACGGATTCAACTACTGTGCAGGCCCTTAATTGCTCTTCGAATGGGAAGGGCGCATGGGTGGAGCAGACAGCTCAGCACTGCTTTTCCAGGTCACTAGCTCTCACGCAAGACCCCTTGACTGGAGAGGAAAAATTCTCCCTTCTCACCCACACTGCAGTTGTTGATCCCTGAGGCATATTCTGCACACAGCCCTGGGTGTGACATCAGCATGGAACATGCAATGGAGACAACCGGGGGGGTCACGGAGGAGAAAGCAGCCCCCTATCTTACTTCAGATTTGAAGCTCTGAACAAGATCACTGGGATTAACGCTGGAGAGATTTTCAAATGGGAGCTAGGCACCCAACTCCTACTGACTGCCAATGGGAGTTGGCTGCATAACTTCCCTTTGATGACCCCCGCGCCCACACACACTTCCCCCGCAAAAAAAAAAATACTGAAGATGCCAGTTACACAGAATGTTGCAGAGTACTTTATGTACCACTGTACTGGGCAAAAGTCGCGTGAAGCTTATAAATAAATGTGGTGGAAGGGGACCCTCTGACTTGTCACTTTCTGTGTTTCGTTCTAATTTGGTCTCCTAAAATCTACGGGTGCAGCTGGCACCTGAGCAGAGGGCCAGCATGAGCTGTGTGCACTCGGGAAATCCCTCCCCGCTGTCTCTGGTGCCTGTTTCACTTCTGCAGGACTTCAGTGGAAGACAGGCCTCGTGCTGGCCCCGCCGCACAGGGAGGACATGCACCCTGTGTGATCTGCATTCCTGAGCCATGCAGCTCCTGGCTGGGCTCTCCTGAGCAGGGGCATCTGTTTCGGTTGTAACTCTCCCGCCCGCAGGGCGAGCTGGAAATGGGGCGCTGAGCCTACATGGCTGGGTGCACAGGGGCAGAGCCTGGGGCTGCACTGGTGTGTCCCAGAACGGGTTCGCCCCACGCTGGTGCTCTCTGTGCAGAGATCTCTTTCCAAAAGGGCAAACTCAGAGCCTGCGGGACAGCGTGTGATTCAGTGCGGCCCATTGCTGTGGTAAGGCCATCCAGGCCTATCCCTGGAAGGCTACTCTCCCCTCAGTTATATCCTAGAGAGCATTAGATCCTGAGAAGACAGTCAAAGCCAGCTTACAAAGCAGGCTCTCTTCTACCTTCTCCCGGTCACCGAATGGGCTCAGGTACACTGGCCTGATACATCTTGATAGGTCAAATTCTCCTCTGGTTTCAGGGCAGTGCCACTCGCTTCAGAGCTTTGCCCCATTCAGCCCAGCCCATAGAGCACACCACCCAGCGGGCAGCTCCTGTTTGAACCCGGGGAAGCAGGAGGGTTGCAAAGCGACGCAGAAAGTTGCCATTTAATCCTCTTTAGATAACGGGGGCTTGTCACTTGCAAACTAGACAGAAAATAAATATAGATTGATTACAAAATCGAACCCCCCCTTCCCACTTGGTAAGTCCCAGGAACTCCTGTGAACTCACATGGGTGCTGCCTTCCCTAAGCCCTGGGAGGCGTTTTCCAAAGCCCGTGGCATTGCCCCGAATGCTCCCATTGATGTCAGTGGGCATTTGACCATTAATTTCAGCAGGAGCAGAGTCAGGCAGCCAATGCTGGACACTTTTGAAAATACCACCCCCCAAATGATCAAAACGGCACCTCCTGCTGCTCATGAGTTTTGCTTGGTTATTACATTTTACACACTTGTGCTGGGATTTTCAAAGGAGACTAGGGGAATCAGGTGACAAGTCCCATTGTCTAGCAATGGGCTTTTGGCTCCTTAGGCTCTTTGAAAATCCAAGCCTGAGGCAATGATTAGTGCTTTATTCTTCTATGCAGGTAGAGGGGGCTGGTTCCACACCGCAGGACCTGTCCCACCTGAACTCCCGTTAACCCTCTGAACTCATTAGCCAAATTTAGGCTTCTTCTCCTAACATGCCTCACTTTCCTGAACCCACCTCCTTATCTCAACCATTGAAACAGATCCGGTCTCCACCATTCCCACCAGGTGAAAAGGGCCTAGCTCTATTTCACCGCCCGGCAAGCGGTCTAGTGGCTTCCCGAGTGCAGGAGACTTGGAGGGGTGGGGCAAAGCTCTTTCCCAGTTTGCCTCGGGCTGCCCCAGACTCTGTGCGGCTGGAGAATTTCAGAGTAGCCAAAAGTGGCTGAAGAAAAATCAGACAGGAAAACGAAGGGCCAGATTCCCAGCTCATGTGCAACGGTTCTGCTTCACAGGAAGTCAACACCTATGCCGTGTCCTGCCACGCTGGGAGCTCTTGTCCACGTCCACGGGAGTTCTAGCCCAGGATGTGCAGCAGAGAGCTGGAGAGCGGAGCAGAGAGGTGGACTTGATCTAGGCATTTCAGAGAGGCACAGGGCCGCCCAGAGAAGAGACGGAGCTGTTCACACCCTAACGTCGTTTGGCCGCGTTATAGTAAATATAGCCAAAATGCTGCATTTCCAGAGAAATAGGAAACAATTTGATTTGTGTACCTCCCAAAAGGGATTCTGCAATTAATTCCCTTGGAGGAGGGCGGGGGGAAGGATCAAACAGCATCAAGAACAGTCGTTTGTTTCCATGACGAGCCGCTTCTCCCCCAGAACCAGGGGATTGCCATTAAATTTTAGTCGTTTCTCTGGTGCTGCAATATGTCAATCTAAGCCCTGCCCCACATTCCAGGTACTGATCCCCCCTTGGGAAGCTGCCCCATCCCTCTGGTCCCAGGGTATCGAAAGGCGAATGCTCCTTTTCAGAGCCAGGGGTTTGTCTCAGACACTTAGGACCATATTCCACCCTCACTCCACCCAAGTATCATCCCATTCAGCCCAATGGGAGTTTAGTGCAAAGACTGAGACTAGAATATAGCCCTTGGCATAGGGACCGGTCCATATGCAAATGCACACAGGCAGTGGGGTTCCTCCTCCTGCATGGACAGTTATTGCAGATGGCTACAGAGGTGGCCAACTGGCTCTCCGCACCCACAACGGCAACAGTTCTTTGTGCAAATCTGGGTGCTCAGTTGTGCCTGGATTTCTGTGCACATGGCATGGAGCTCCTGCTTTACAAATGTGACCTTCAGTGTCATTTTGGAGCCCAAACCTGCACCCCAAACTCCCACTTACAGCAAGTAGGGGGAGTCTGAGGTGCCCAGCAAATAGAGGAAAGAACAGAAATCTGCTCTGGTTACAGCTGGAGCTCGTCTGCTCTAGACGGCCTTTGTTTCACTATCCTCCTCAGTCCCTGGTATACGGCACTCTTGCACGAGTGCTCCCAGCAACATGTTACCCTCTCCCGTTGGATATTGTACTGAGAATGGTAGGGGCAACCCCAAAGCAGCCTAATGCTAGGCTGGCCCAACTCTTCCAGCTAGTGATTACCGTTCTGTGGATAGCAGTGGAGAGGGAATCAGAGCCTAGCAGCCTCTGTCCGATGCGACTACATCCTGTGTGTGGGTTTTCTGCCCAGACCCTCACAAACAGGCATACAAAGGTTCTAGCCAGCTGCCTCCAAAGCTTTGCTGTGTACGGGCCTACAGTGCCACCACATGCCACAACACCCCCATGGGCCCTGGCTCTGGGCCCCGGCACAGCCGGTCCTGCTAAGAGACCTCTCGGAGGAGAGAGGCTAAGGAGACCTGTACTCACCCCCACCAGAGGCTCCCTCCCCTTCATCAACTCAGAGTAAACACTGACTCACAAACAGCTGAAATAAATTATATCACCTGAAATCAGATGAGGTTCCACCTGTGCTATCATACAGTACTAAGTGGAGTCTCCGAGGGCTACAGCTGAGAGGTCTTCTATGCAGGGAAGGGGGAGGACTGTCCCAGCAGCTCTTCTTCTACAATCCATGCTTACTGGCTTGAGCACAGTCAGCCTAGCAGGTTTGACTCATTTCTGTAGTTCTTCATACTATGTGAGTGGGTGGGTGGGGGAGAGGGTCAGGGATTACCTGGCGTGGAGAGTGCAGCCTTTGGGAGCACACTTAGGAATTTTCTAATGCCCCAAGCAAACCCCTTTGCATTTCCTCTAGGGTTCTAGGAATCACTGATGACGTTTCAGCCATCAGCTCTCAACCAGACCACATTGTTCAGGTAGGATGAATGGAGATTGTTCACTCAGCCGATACAAATTTCACAGTCAAAACCGATACGGATAAGAAAGCAAAACAAAAGGCTCTTTACACAGGTAGGTTGCCATACCGCTCCTTCTGGAATGATGCTCGTCTTAGAAAATACGAACCAAGGGATTGTCCTACTTAGGTCAGTTAGTACATTATAAACAGTCCTGCTTTTAAAGTGAAAATACTGTTGCTAGTCTTTAGGAGGTGCATCCTTTTCCTGTTGGGGCGCAGAAGGAGATACTGGCATGAAATGGTCCTCTCCAGCTCTTCTTCTCTATCAGTGCTTCTCCTGGAAGAAATGAGACTGTGTTAGGAAAACAGAGGCCTTGTCAATGAATATGTGATCAAGGTAGATCGAGGTTACCAGACTCGCTGGCTATTTATCCAAGGAAGCCAGCAAACTTCAATTAAAGGACCCCCAGATCATCTAGTCTAACCTCCTGTCCACCATCACAGGCCACCAACACCACCCAGCACCCGCACACTAAACCCAACAATTGAAATTAGACCAAAGTATTACAGCCCACAGGAGACTTGACCATTATGTGTTACCGGCAGAGAACAGTGTGGACCAAGGTGCACCAAGGCACAAGGCCACTGCAAAGACAGGGAAATGCTTAAGCAAGAAAAACCCAGATGACCCTGGCAAGTGACCTGCACCCACACACCGCAGAGGATGGCGAAACTGACCTCCCCCCCAAGGTCACTGCCAATCTGACCTGGGGGGAAATTCCTTCCAGACCCCCACCACATCACGAATGCCTAGACCCTGAGCGTGTGAGCAAGAACCAGCCAGTCAAGCATCTGAGAGAGAAAACGCTCGGTGCCATCTCAGAGCTCTGTCCCTTCCTGTCCAATGTCCCATCTCCAGCCCTGGCCATCCCTAATGCTTCAGAAGAAGGCATCCGAAGAGGGGAGGATGGTCATTTTTCTGCAGACAAGGACAATCTGCATGGGGAAATGGCCATGCCGCTGCAAGGTACCAGGTACTTAATCAATCTGACCCATGCTACTGGTGAGGAGAAAAAATTCTGAGACCACGGACCTTCTCCCTAGGCTCTGAGAACCGGAGAAAGCATAAAAGTAAGCCTCCCCCACAATGGTCTATACTGTGAAATACACAGAGATCTGATGAACTAAGGAAGGTTCTAACTTGTGCTGACATGGGAAGAGAGACATACGAGTGCTGATCTGGGAGAACTGTCCAATATGGAAGATGCATATGGAACTTCTTAGCTGCACCAGGTCAATAGCCCAAGGCATCACAGTGTGCACATTACCAATTTCTTTGCATGGTTTTTCTTTTCTTTTCTTTTTTAAACTGGAAGCTCTAGGACCCAGAGGTTTTCAAAGCCTCCAGCAACAGCTGAAATCTGTACTTTCAGTTTCAGGCCAGTCCCAGCTGTGGGTGCAGCTGCTCCAGGGAATTGGTTCTAGTGCACTCGGGAAGGAGAGCGATGCAAAGCCCATTGTTCTTGCTGTGGAACGTCCTGGTCAGAGCCACGCTCCAGGGGATGAGCTCAGTGTGAGACGTGCCCCTGGCACAGCGGAGACCCCACGGAAGAGGTCCTGCCTGGACATTTTTTTATTCAAATAGCTCAGTATTGTATAACCTACCTCCTGCTTGTGGGATTTATCCTGTTGATGGATCCCATTAGCAGATCCCGAGTTTCCAACAGTCTGTAACAGAACAGATGAGACTTGGTTGAAGATGGGCACTGATAAAAAGCATCAAACTCCCCAGAAGCTTTGACATCTGAGGTGACAACTCACTCCCTTTCATACAGATCTGATATTAACTGCTGCGTGCTGGGAAATTAGAATTTAAAGATCCCATGGTGCTCTTGGCAAGGAATTCTTAACCTCTGCATCCTGGCCAATTCCCCAGGGGGGCGGGGGGAATTGCATTCTTCCTAGCAATGAAATTCCCCTCTGTAGTTTCCGCTGGGCAAGGTCCCATTCTTTGCGCTCAACTCCTGGGTAGCGTTGCCTCATGCTGTTGGATTTGCTAATCTGCAAAGTGATTGGCGTTCTTTGGGATACCAGGCACGACAGACACAGTGCGGGTTCACCACTTAGTGCCGGACATCTCTAGAGATGAGTCAGCCAGGCAGAACAGGCTTTTGTTTCTACCTTTAAAAACACAACCAAGTTAAATGTTGATCGGGGCTCTCTAGCAGTGAGAACAGTGTGCTCATCCTTTGCAACTACAAAATAACCAGCATGAGACGAGGGCTGGGAGCAGCCTGCAGTGTAGGACTACGGCATGCCAGCTTTCATTCAGAGTCCCTTCTACACTGACACGATTGACAGCTGTGAATCCACCACCAATGCATTGCTGATGGCAGCACGGGTGGATGTTATAGTGGAGACGGGGCTCTGGAGCTTTAACTATCAGAGAATCATAGGACTGGAAGGGACCCGGAGAGGTCATCTAGTCCAGTCCCCTGCATTCAGGGCAGGACTAGTATTATCTAGACCATCCCTGACAGGTGTTTGTCTAACCTGCTCTTAAAAATCCCCAAGGATGGAGATTCACAACCGCCCTAGGCAATTTATTCCAGTGCTTCACCACTCTGACAGTTAGGAAGCTTTTCCTAATGTCCAACCTAAACTGCCCTTGCTGCAGTTTAAGCCTGTTGCTTCTTGTCCTATTCCCAGAGGTTAAGAAGAACAATTTTTCTCCCTCCTCCTTGTAACAATCTTTTATGTACTTGAAAACTGTTATGTCCCCTCTCAGTCGTCTCTTTTCCAGACTAAACAAACCCAGTTTTTTCAATCTTCCCTCATAAGGCACGTTTTCTAGACCTTTAATCATTTTTGTTGCTCTTCTCTGGACTTTCTCCAATTTGTCCACATCTTTCCTGAAATGTGGCGCCCAGAACTGGACACAATACTCCAGCTGAGGCCTAATCAGTGCAGAGTAGAGCAGAAGAATTACTTCTCATGTCTTGCTTACAATACAGGGGTTCTCAAACTGGGGGTCGGGACTCCTCAGGGGGTCACGAGGTTATTACATGAGGGGTCGCGAGCTGTCAGCCTCCACCCCAAACCCCGCTTTGCCTCCAGCATTTATAATGGTGTTAAATATATTTTAAAAAGTGTTTTTCATTTATAACGGGTGTCGCACTCAGAGGCTTGGTATGTGAAAGGGGTCACCAGTACAAAAGTTTGAGAACCACTGTGCTAATACATCCCAGAATGATGTTCGCTATTTTTGCAACAGTGTTACGCTGTTGACTCATATTTAGCTTGTGATCCACTATAACCCCCAGATCCCTTTCCGCAGTACTCCTTCCTAGGCAGCCATTTCCCATATTGTATGTGTGCAACTGATTGTTCTTGCCTAAATGGAGTACTTTGCATTTGTCCTTATTGAATTTCATCCTATTTACTTCAGACCATTTCTCCAGTTGATCCAGATCATTTTGAAGTATAATCCTATCCTCCAAGGCACTTGCAACCCCTCCCAGCTTGGTATCATCCGCAAACTTTATAAGGGTACTCTCTATGCCATTATCTAAATCATTGATGAAGATATTGAACAGAACCAGACCCAGAACTGATCCCTGCGGGACCCCACTCGTTATGCCCTACCAGCATGACTGTGAACCACTGATAACTACTCTCTGGGAACGGTTTTCCAACCAGTTATGCACCCACCTTATAGTAGCTCCGTCTAAGTTTCCCTTACTTTGTTTATGAGAAGATCATGCGATACAATATCAAAAGCTTTACTAATGTCAAGATACACCACATCCTACCGCTTCCCCCCATCCACAAGCCTTGTTACCCTGCCAAAGAAATCTATCAGGTTGGTCTGACACGATTTGTTCTTGACAAATCCATGCTGACTGTTACTTATCACCTTAGTATCTTCTAGATGTTTGCAAATTGATTGCTTTATTATTTGCTCCATTATCTTTCTGGGCACTATCATTGCCTTTACCCTTGAGCTCTGTCTACACTACAGCTTCCCCTCTTGCTACAACCAGTAGTGGCTCAGGGCTACTAAGCTAGTACAGGCAGACGTAGCTAGAGAGAAGAGAAAGGCCAGGCTGAGTTTTGGAAGTTTAGATCCTAGAAATTCAGGTTGAGACTTTAAAAGGAATCTATTTGCCCAGTGATCATTCCTAACTGCACTTGGTATTGCTTCTTGCATGACAATCAATCACTCTGGAGTAATGTCCCAGGTTGCTTCATCCTGGCATTTGCAGGGCCCTCCAATTTTCTGCAATGCAGTAAATTCCCCAGTCCCTGCAGAAGACACACAGCCTGTGCCTTGAGTGGCAGCCGCATCCAACACTACAAATTAGACTTGAACTTCGCCGAATACAAGGTCGCTGGGAATGAATAAGCTGGAATGTAATTTGCTAGAAACTAAATACAATCTCCCAGAGCAATTATTACAAATTCTTTGAGAAGAAGCTTGAGTGCCAAATCCTTGTCATTTCCTGGAAAGCTATGAGATCAGGGTCTCCAAAGACATGCAGGATGTGGAGTTTTTTGTTTTATTACAGGCTAATACCTAGCCGTAGTCATGGTCACAGCAACAGTAAAGTGCCAGTTCCTTGACAACGAGATGGAGACAGTGCTATTACACCGCAGCTCCTTGTCTAATAGCGAGGCCAGCCATGCACGTCAAGGGAATCCAGAGCACGTCGGCTGATAAGCCTGCAAAGGGAAAGCAGCAGCACCTTGTGGTAATGAGCAATTTCCTTCTTTAGAGTGTTGCAAAGTGAAGGCAGTGCAGCTGAGAGACAAGGGGACATAGACGCCGATTTCGTGGAAAAATTGGTGGGTGCTCTGCACCCACTGGCAGCTCCCTGCCCCGTCCCCCAGCCCCAGCTCACCTCCGCCTCCGTCTCCTCCCCTGAGCGCACTGCGTGCCCGCTTTTTCGCCCTAGCTCCCAGCGCTTGTGCCGCAAAACAGCTGTTTTGCGCGGCAAGTGCTGGGAGGGAGGGGGGGAGAAGGGAGGATGCGGCACGCTCAGGGGAGGAGGTGGGGCCGGGGATTTGGGAAAGGGGTTGGAATGGGGCGGGGAAAGGGTGGAGTCGGGGCGGGGCCAGGGGTGGGGGGCGCGAGCACCCACCGGCGCCAGGGAAAGTTGGCACCTATGCAAGGGGAAACAGTGGCAAGCTGGATCCCCCAGAAAAGGCTACTGGTGTCTTAGGGATGATTGTTTCTGTAGGTCAGGGAGAGAGCAGAGTGGAGTGGACTTACACTGAAACTCAGTATCTAGCCAAGCACAACCAGAGTCCAAGATTGTTTCAGTCCATCCCATTGTGCCCACTGGCCTCCATTTAAGGGCTCAAAGTCCTTGGCCTTATCCTGAAATCCTTGTTTAAGCAAGTTCCCCTGGACGTCCCTCTCCTGTCAGAGAGAAAGACAGGTCTGCAGTTCAGGCACGGCACTGACACTCAGGAGATGGGGGTTCAGTCCTGACCCCACTGCACACTCTCTGTGTGACCCTGAACGAGCCATTTAGGCCCAGGTTTTTAAATGTGTTTAGGCGTTGCTGCACGCAGTGTTGCAACATCTGATTTAGGAGCTTAAATCTCATTTTCAAAAGGGATTTAGGCACTAAGGAATCTAACTACCATCTGTGTCAATGGGATTTTGCCCCCCAAGTGCCTTCATCCCTTTTGAAAAAGAGATTTAGGCTCCTAAATCAGTTAGAGATTGC